GATGGGAACTTCTTTAGTTTCCACTCTGGGTTATCAGGATAGTAATGGCAGGAACAATTGTGAATGGGTATTTATGTGGACGTTTGCTTCCAGTTCTCTTGGATATAAAACCAAGGAGTGGTTGTTTGACTCACTCGATTGACTTAATGCTTCACCTTTTAAGGAGTTGCCAGGTTGTTCTCAAAGCTGCCATGTTGTTTATACTGTTGAGATTTCTAGGGCAGTGGGTGAACAGTCTCATTTTTCTAAATTCTTGCCAACACTTGCTATTTACCTTCTTTGTATTAAACATATGGTATGATTAGCTGATAATTTTACTGGAACATAACCTCAGAGGCACTGAAGGAACACCTGTGCTTAGTAATTGTTTAGTAAGTCCTTTTTCTTTTCTTTTTTTTTTTGAGACAGTGTTTCTCTGTGTAGCTTTATGCCTTTCCTGGATCTTACTCTGTAGCCCAGGCTGGCCTTGAACTAACAGAGATCCACCTGCCTCTGCTTCCCGAGTACAGAGATTAAAGGCGTGTGCCACCACCGCCCGACAATTGTTTAGTAAGTCTTATGAGTTACTATTTTTGCTGTCTGTATTATTTGTCACTAACAACCAATGAACCCATCTTCTCTCCCCCTTCCGCTTTTCTGTTCCCTTCCCATTGCCTCTTTACTCTTTAAAATGTTTTTAATTGAAATAGAATTACGTCACTTCCCCTCATCCCTTCAAGCATCCCCTCATCCCTCCAGCCTCCCCCAGTTGCCCTCCCTTGAACCCCTTGCATGCCCCAGCTCTCAAGTTGATAACTCTCCTTTTCTTCAATTATATTTGTCACATATATATGCAAACATGCACATGCCTGCATGTGGACCCCTCTGCCCACATACATAATCACACTGAGTCATTTATGTGGCTATAGCTTCAAGGCTAACCTCTCTGTACTCTGAATTGGACAACCAATAAGGGGGCTTATCATTGTGAGACACTAATTCTACTTTTCCCAGCAATCACTAGTCACCTGTAGCTCTTTGTTCAGGGGTCGGATTTTCCTTCTTTCACATTAATGTGTCCATTGATATTGTTGTTTCTGTCTTATCGGCCATTTCTAGGAGAGACAGTTTCCACTGCAGACTTCCTGGTACTCTGGCTTTTACAACTTTCCACCCCCTCTTCCATGATGTTTTTTGAGCCATAGCTGCAGAAGCTGTGATGCAGATATGTCCACTGGGGCTGAGCTCTCCAGGATCCATTGATCCCTACTTGTGTCCAGTTTTGGTCTTCTGTGATGGTCTCCATTTTCTGTAAAGCCAAACTTCTTTGATACTTGTCTGTAGGAATGAGGATATGATTTAGAATATAGTAAGGAATTATGCTGGTCTAGCAGAGATAGAAGGAAAAGAAGGAGGGACAAATAATAACCAAGGTTGTTGATTAAGCCTCAAGGAATCATATTTAAATTTACCTAAAATTATATTTATTTTATATTAAAATATATATGTATATGAAGTTAAACCACATAGACTGACACAAGAACCATGGACTAACAAAACACACAGTATCAGACACGAGAAACTTCCTTTCAAGACAGTCCAAATGACTCCCAAAACAACAGACTATTGATGTAGTCCTTGGTTGCCTATCAGAGGTTGAGGGTGAGTTCCTATTGCTGAAGATACCACACACTTAGGACAAATGACTCAGAGGATGTGAGCTGGATCAGACCTCAAAGACTCTTTTTTTTTAGTCCAGCTTCCATGGTTCTAGAAAATAATACACAGTTTCAAGGGAGGGAAGCAATTAAACAGTCTTACTCAACTATAACACCTATGAACCATGATAATGACTAGCATGGCAAGATAGGCATAATCATATCACTGGCAGCCAACAGCTGTCTAATTGGACTTAAGACCCAGTCAACAGGGGACATTCATGTCTGGTATGTGAAATCTAGGCAGCTTCCTGGGGCTAGTGCGGTCATGGACCTTAGAAAACAATCTGCTATTGTCACTTTGCTAGACCCACACAATCCCTTTCCTTTTAAAGACAACACATGGTCTTTTAAAGACTTACTATAAAGTCAGGGTGGCTTCAGAGCTTTTTTTTTAAATAGCCCAGATAGGTCTTAAACATGTGATCTTCCTACTTTAGACTTCTAAGTGCTGAGACTGCAGGTAGGCAACTCCATGCTCTACTCAGGGAGGTCTTTCCTAGTTTAACACATTTACTGTGCCGTATAGACTAGGCCGGCCTCCTGCCTTAGCCTCCTGAGTGGTGGGATCACAGGTGTACAGCAACAAATCCAACTTACTTTAGGATTTTAATGACAGAACTAGTGACTTTAAATGTGTGAAACCAATGAATTTTCTTATGCTTGTCAAAAGACTAGCATCCATCAACACAATCATTCTACCGTCAGTCAGGGGATTAGTGACCCTCTCTTAACATTACTGCTTGTGCAGAGCTTTAAGTTCAGTCAGAGATGGGACCTTGGTACCTCAGTTATTAGCTGAGCACAAGCAAGTCTCTATACTTGTGGCCTCCTGCATTCATCACAAACAAACAAACAAACAAACAAACAAACAAACGACAAACAGTGGACTATGACAGCTTGGATACATCATTCTTTGGTTTTTCCCTTCAAGCCTTTTATTTTGCCTGCTGCTTAACTGTTATCCACTGCCTCAGGCAATGGCAAAGATAGAAACCGTTTCTTGCAGGTGTTTCTCAGTTTGTTTCCACAAATGGCGATAAAGGAGAAGGCTTTCACAATGGATGAGTTCTGAGTCTGGTAAACAGCAGACAGCCTGTTAGGTGTGTCTTCCAGGTGACCAGCGGACTGGTAAAATAACACAACAGGACTTTGGGGTTGAGGCTTCATAAAAGTTGTGGCTTTGCTCTCATTTACAAGGCTGCACAGGAACACCGCTGTCCATTTTTCAAGGCTACCATGGAGTTAGAGAATAACAGAAGGAGCAAAGGCAAATCCAACCAACAATTTCCCCATTCTTATCAGCATTTTTCTTGAACCCTGTGGATTCTGAGACTCAAACTCTGGTTGTTAGGCTTGGTGGCAATTGACTTCATCCACTGAACCGTCTTGCTGGCCCTGAACTTTATCTTATAGTCTGCAAAATCTGTCCACATTTTTCATTGTCAAGTTCACTTCCACCAGCAGCACAACAGAATGTGCTAAGTGGATGATAAGAGACAATGTGCTAACCGGTATCTACTCTCCCAACTGTTGTATGAAGTTGTATTCACAAGCTCATTTCTCAGAATTTGAAAAAATAAAATTGACATTGAAGAAATGATCACAAAGTAGTTGTGAGCAATTATAATTGAAGTTGCAGTGGATATTACCATTCACACTGAAAAGGACGAATGTACCATTTACTGAAAGGATGCTTTCCTTAGTAAAAACATTACCTTGATAGAACACAAGGCAATATAAAGGTTTGATATTCACACACATCTTTCAGACTCTGTGGGTGTGGCGGATATATGCTATTTGGGAATCCATGAACACTGACATAGGCTGGGACACATCAAGATATAGGGATCGCCATGGTATGTCAGTCACTATATTCTTAACATGTTCTTTCAACATTTGTTTGGCATATACAAGCAGAAACTGATTTTTTTTCTGAGACAGGGTTGCTCTGTGTAACAGTTCTGGCTGTCCTGGAACTCACTTTGTAGACCAGTCTGGTCTTGAACTCACAGAGATCCACCTGCCTCAGCCTCCTGAGTGCCAGGGTTAAAGGCATGGGCCACCACCACCACCTGGCTCTGATTCTTTTCTTAACAGACCATTTCTTTGTTTTTATAACAAGTAATTAAGATATGCTGTTTTATTTATGCAAAATAATAAATGAAAAATAGGTAGATGTACAGCATGGACTGCTGTATATAAACATTGTACAATGCTTTTATGCACATGCAACAAAATTCACATCCGTAATGGAGAAGAACGTGGAGGCTCCTGACACAATTAGAGAGACAAATACACTTCAAGAATCCCACCTCCACATGTCCAAAGGAATTGAAACTGGTGCTGGAGAGAGTGAGCCATGCAACTCCGTGTTCCCTGCAGTACCACTTGCCAAGACTGAAAGAATGAGTGAGTGGATAGGGGAAGAATGGCATCCTTGTAGGCTGAAATGTATGTGTCACTGAATAAAAGTTTAAGTCAGTTTGATATTTTATATTAAGGCTAATGCTAACAGCAACACAATTATCAAAATGCCGGTTCATTTCCTACTAGAGGCAGAGTAGTTCCACAGAGAAGTTACAGAGAAGATAAGTCTGAATAAAGAGTAAGTCCCACTTTCAAAGTTTGTGTGTTTATGATAAAACATCTTACTTTCGGCATCAGGGTGTCCTACTGGGCTTTTCTACCAAATGACTAAAGATTTGGAAATATTTAAGAACTCTCTTGCTATTTAGGGATGGAAAGAATAATTCTGATTAAGACTAGCATACAGTTATAAAGTCTTACTTCAGGAAGGGGTGGTTAAAGTAGACTTTGCATTGGTGGCTCATAACTAATGTTTCTGACTTTTGTTAAGCGACTGTATTCAAACATCTGCCCATTAGAATGCCTTTACTTCACCAAGGAGACAGAGGCACAGCTAGAGGAATGTTAGCACCTCCTTCATTCTAGATCCGGCTGTCATCTGCTCTAATTTCCTCTGTTAATTAAATTGTACTTAACAGCCCAGACTATGGCTGTTCAGGGATTTGGCTATCACTGCTTAGAGGAGAATACAGAGAATAATCTAGAAACACTCCTATTTTGTTCCTACTTGAAATTCTGTGGTAACAGCACAGATTGGTGGTACAGTTGTTCACTTGGGTTCTCACCTGGTCTATGCCAGTGAATTAATTGCAAGTCGTTTCCCTATTTCAAGATGAAGCCTTATCAGCTGTATTTTTTTCTTCACCAAGCAAGTCAACCAAACGGTTCTACAGAGGAAACTATACTCTTTTTCCTTAATAATACCCTGGTGAGGAGAAGTGGAACTCTGTTCCACCTGCTTCTGCAGGCAAGAGGAAAACAGAGCCATCTGCTTGGACTCAAGACACTGCTGATGTTAATGCCAATGGGAAAGACTGGGGAAGGAGCTGGAGTGATCATTCAATATTTTCTGGCACTGAGTTTATTGCTGAGCCAGTTTCTCAGTCTACCACTTCTGATTATCAGTGGGATGTTAGCCATAATCAACCCTATATCAATGATGAATGGTCTGGGTTAAGTGGTTTGTCTTCTGCTGATCCCAGCTCAGACTGGAATGCACCAGCAGAGGAGTGGGGGAACTGGGTAGATGAACAAAGAGCTTCACTTCTGAAGTCCCAGGAACCAATCCTCAATGATCAAAGGATTTCAGATGATGATAAAGAAAAAGGAGAGGAAGCTCTTCCAACTGGCCTACCCCTTGGGGGAAAAATAACCAAAGCACAAACTTACATACATATAAACTCTTACAATGGAAAATTTGGGACACTAAATTAAACTTACTGTCTCAGGGAGCATCTGATGAATATTGAGAGAGAAAGAATATATACCTGAAGCATAATGGAAACAACAGTAATGTACTAACCAAAAATGACAAGCAAAATTAAGATTATATATTTTTATAGTCATCAATAATCTGAATCCTTTGCTGGAAGAAAGAAGAGGTAGGAAGTACTATAAAATGAGGATTAGATAATTATTAACTTTTGAGTATTTTCTGATACACAATGCAAAAAAGCATCATCTCTGTGCATATTCAGACTGTGAATGGGTATATGCTCCTTTGTATGAATATACACGTAGGTTAGATATCAACATAGACGTCCTTCCTCAATTGTTCGCCACCTTATCCTTCAGAGATAGGATTGGAGTTCATGACTAGATGGGTTAGGCAGTAAAGCCCTGGTCTCTGCCTCCCCAGGCTTGGATTGCAGGCCTGCTCTACTGCATCTGGCTTTTTAAGTGAGTGATGGGGATCAGCCTTCAGTGGGGCTTCCTATGATATTTGAAAAGTTTTGCTGAGCATTCTGCTCTTTATGTGTTTCTCTTGTTCAGAACTTTACAGCAGATTGGAATGCTTTCAGACAGGTCCTGGGTGTTTGGGTCTGCAAGCACTATATTATATTATTATCCAAATACCTTCTTACTGTAGATTTCTTGAAAAGTAAAGATGAAAAGAATACCACTTCTGATTACTGACACTGCCTGCTGTTAGTAAAAATTAGGTAATGAGTATTTGGTATCTGCTACTAGATCAACATATTTAAATATGCTTTCCTTTTTCCAGTCTCTTCAATTACAACACACACTCACGTTAGATAATTTATTTTGAGAACTTTCATTAGAATTTGTATTAGTTATACACACAGTGTAGACACGTATGTCTTGTTTAGTTTTGCTTGAAACAAGGTATCACTAAGTAATCCAGACTAGGCTGCACATGAACTCCTACTGCCCCAGGCCCCTGTATGGTGGAATTACAGTCATACAATTCCACACATGAATCATGTTCACCTGTTTGTGTCTCCAGAAACAAACAGTACTTGGAGAGGCAAACACTCAGGACCTGTTTGAAAGTATGCCAGTCTGCTGTAAAGTTCTGGACAAATGAAACACATGAAGAGCAGAAACTTTCAAATGTCACAGGAAGCCCCACAGAAGGCTGAGACCTTTTCCATTTACCTTCTCATTTTATGAAACCTCTGCATGCTGGAACAGGAGGCTCTCTAATTGTTTGTAATTCTCCATGAGACCCTGGGGACATAAGACAAAGCTTTCAATGTCAATAGACACAGTCTGTGGCTTATACACAGAGTCATCTCAAAGGAGAAATACAGACTCACATTTCCCCACTATGGCCAATACAGCAAATTTGGCAACTGAGGGTAATATTACTGAAGAGAGAGTAGGAAGTCTTCTGCCACTGTGAAAATAATTAAGCAGTTTGGAAAATGATTTAAGATGCATATTCTTTGTTAATTTCTAAGTTAAAAACTTCCAGAAGAATCTAGAAATTGATCACCTTATAAAACTGGACGTTTCAGAACAAATACAGCAAGAAATATCTGTGTTAACAATCAGTTTTTATTTTAAGAAATATATGAAACTTAAAAATCTACTTCAATGATACTTTATGGTTTAGTGTCCAAATATTTGCCTTTACCTGTGTGTGTAACCACTTACATTTGTGTGTGTGTGTGAAACCACTTACATTTGTGTGTGTGTGTGTGTGTGAAACCACTTACATTTGTGTGTGTGTGTGTGTGTGAAACCACTTACATTTGTGTGTGTGTGTGTGTGTGTGTGTGTGAAACCACTGACATTTCTTAAGCAAACTGTTATGCTTAACTCAAATTAGCGAGTGATTTTGTTTCCCTGTACCCTTTATCTAGATAGTGATTGACTTTGTTCTAGGTACCAGAAAAGAAGCAGTCATTCAATCCCACACTGATTCTTCAGGCATTTTCATGAATACCTAGAAAACCAATTATGCAGTGTGCATTCAGAGATGCTTTATCTCTTACAAATTTATTAATTTCAAATTTTTAAGCGTTGCATTAAAAGACCGCAGAAGCTCTTATTGTGAACAATCAAGGTTACAACAGGAAATTGTCAGCTGCTGCTCTAGAAAATGGCAGTGCCACGTTGTGCATCATCAAAAACTCTCAAAAACTTCAAGTGGAGAAAAACAAGTATTTGAGGTGTGTGTGTGTGTGTGTGTGTGTGTGTGTGTGTGTGTGTGTGTGTGTGTGTGTACACAATAGTGTTTATTTCCTTCCCAACCTGGCAGTTTGGGAAAGTTGGGCTAGAGATAGAGTCTCATGTTGTAACCCAGGCTAGCCTGGAACTCAACATGTAACCTCAAATGCTCAGCATTCCATCTTGTCTCAGCTTCTCAAGCACTAGGGTTATGGTTTGAACCACCGTTCCGACTCCTGGTACCATCTGATGATTTTGAAAGCAAGGAACATGTTTCTCTGTGGATGTAGCTACCTGAACAGGCTGTGGTAAAGAATTACCATTTAAATCTTTTAGGTCCTAAGCCACATTAGTCCCTATATGTATTTTGGCAGTAAGTGTGATGCCTGAGGGGTAGGCACTCTACCCCTGAGCTACAGCCCCTGCCCTTCTGCATGGAAATTTGAATTGTCCTTTCGTGATGCTTCTACTAGGTACTTGATTTATCAGGCCAGGAATGGTAGGGAAGGCCCCAGGCTCTAGGCAGCTAGAAGGCTGGGACTAGTTAAGCTGCAGACCTGAGGGAGGTGTGGGTGGTGGGTGCCAGCACCAACAAAGTCTGCCCTGTCCGATATGTATAAATCACCTTTTTGACTCTTCACTTCCAGATTCCAGAAAAAGCCAGGCAAAGGGGAGATATTAGGGTTAAACACCTGGGGAGAGTGAAGGGGACGGACTCAGCTGTTTCTGGCCCAGGAGGTATCAGAAAGACCCCAGTCATTCTCTGCTGTCCCACGGGTGGCTTTGGCCTTGCTGAATTAGAGCCAACTAGGGTGGGGCACGTTTCTGTAGTGACAGGGTCTGGTGATGTGTACCTTACGCCACACTGAAATCGTGCTCAGCAGGCTCTGCAAGGAAAGGGGTGAACAGGCTACGCAAGAGATTGGAGCTGCTGAGATGCTAGGTTCAGCAGAGCCTGGTCAGGTTTTAGCGTGCCTCGGAACTCTGAGGTCCCCAAAGGCCCAGCAGCGCTTAAAGGGGGCTCTGATCTCATCCTTGCCTGGGCACCTAGGACACTGTGTGCTAAAACCTGCAGGAAGAGTCTAGGCCTTCCCCCGCCCAGCCATTGCTATGGCAACCTCTCTGTTTGAGGCGGCCGGACCCCAGGCTGCAGCACAGCTCCCCCTGGCGGATTGCCTAGTACCAAGCACGCCCCGGAGGCCCATCAGAGGCGAGGCCCGGCCTACTGGTGCAGGCTTTGGTCCTCCCAGCCCCCTCCCTTGTTGCCATGGAGACCGCCAGGGCAACCTCACCAGTACCAGCTGCAGCAGCCAGAGCCGCTCAAGAAGAAACAACCTGAGCCCTCTTTTGCCTCAGCGCCTCTTCCAGGAACTCAAACCCAGCAGCTACCTCAGCCAGCCTCCCACAGGCAGGAAGTGAGAGGGCAGAAGTCCAGAGTGGGCTGGTCCCTCCCCCACACCTATTTTACTTGGCTTTCCATTCTGAATGTTATACCTTGGCATCTTTTGTGATAAAGAGTTCACAGGGGGAAATAACACGGTTCCTTTTATTCTGCCTGCTACATCTTTCCTGTTAACATGCAGCGTTTAGTCCCATGAAACAATGTCTTGGACCATGCTTAACCATCAAGATATTTTAACAGTCTTCCTTCCCTCCTCCCTCGCTCCTTCCCTCCCTCTCTCGCCTCTTCCTTCCTCCCCCCCCCATTTCGACTCCCCCTTCCTGTCTTCCTTCTTGCTTCATTCCAGCATATACGTGAAAACCCCAGTTTCATTAATCAAAATGGATTAATTATATTTATAGGACTGTCTCCTTGTCACTATGCACCAGCCAGAAGGGGTTTGCTTGTTGGTTTTTTCTTGACAGATACTTGACACTGTTCTGGGTCAGGATATCAGAAGTTCCAGGAAGATAAAGAGTGGGATGGTTGGAAGCTCCTTTGCTGTATTACTTCCAATTCCACACTTAATGTAGTGCCAAAGCCTCTCTTTTCTGGACTCTATTCCTTTTCTGTTTGGGGCTGCTTTTGACATTTTCAGTTGGTGGGGCTAGCGATATGGGTCAGGGGATTCTGCCTTTGGATTAAACAGTCCAGGCTGATCACAGTTGGCTCGAGTAAAATCTAGTGCATGGGTGCATCCCTACTGATTAACGTGTGAACACACTCAGCGAAAGGGGTCTGCTGAGAACAGGTGGAGCCATCTGTGACCTTCAGTTGCCAGCCTTAGCCTGGCAGGCTGTGAACTGCCTTGGTCAGATGACTTTCCCATGCCATGTGTATGCCAACAGCTTTCATTTCGAGAGAGGACCCTAGGAGCTTCAGGTTCTGAAATTTACGAGTTTCTTGAGTAGATCTGTAGTTTTGAATAGACCATCCTTTTGAACTGGGCTTTTATACTTACTCTTCGGAAGAATCCTAGCAATGGAGGATGGATGTTTCTTTCTCAAACTCGATAGATGGGACACTTACTATTTTGTTTGGCCACCCTTTCTCTCATGAGGGACTTATAGCTATTGAATGATTCTGATACAGTCCAAGCCCCAGGTGAAACTATGACTTGAGTTGCTTGAAGTGGCTTTGACTTTCTTTTCATTCAAAATGTACCCAGGGTTTCCTGAAGAAACCCAAAACACATGCCGCCTTTGCCACACTTCTTAATCCTAAGGATGAGACTTTCTTGATACAACCTTTAATTTTCCTTTGAAGCTGCTC